GGGAACTTATTTAAGGTTGTGTCCCTCCCAAGACCAAAAGTATTTCGTTTGCTTCTTCTCGAAACCGCTATCACCTTTATTTGCTACCGATCAAACGATTGGCAACCCTAAATAAATTATTCTTACCAATCTATGGCTGGAACTGCCTTAAGCTTTATCGTAAGGCCGTACCGACTTGCCGAGTGTTAGTCCTTGGCCATTTTACGTTTCCTGTAAAGGATCAAACTATATTGCTTGAAATCTCGACCCGAATACCACACTGAAAACAATTTAACCCAAGGCCCGCGAGTAAACCGGTGTTTTGCGGGTACCCCTATCCGCAACCATTTTTAACCACCCTCCCAGGAGTACAGTAAGGTCCCATTGCAGTGTAGTCGTCCCTGCTCTCAGCGGACTTGTTCGCTGACAGCGGTTATATCCGCTCAGAGCAAGTACGACTACACCGCAATGGGACCTAGCACTACTCCTGGGAGGGTGGTTAAAAATGGTTGCGGATAGGGGTACCCGTAAAACACCGGTTTACTCGCCAGCCTTGGGTTAAATTGTTTTCAGTGCATTGTGCTTTTACCTTTCATTTTGGCTTTGTTTTCAAAATATTTAGGTTCACGCATTTACATGTAGTTTGGGATTGTATATCGTCGTATCCCTTCTCTGCGTAATAAGATTAATCGTCGATTCCAAGAAGCTTATGATTGCTCGTGACTCCATCGGAAAATACGCATCGTGAGCTACCCGAAATGAACAGATAACTGTTTTTCACACGAGCACAACCGAAGAATTAGTGCGCCTTCCCGCTCCGCTGCCTGTCTCGAATTAGAGTGAAACTGAGGCTCGCTGTTCATGCCGCTACACATCTGTCGATTAAAGTGACTACCGTTTTGTTTTCCAATTACCCTCACATTCTTCATGTCTCTGTGTCCCCGTTGACAGTTGCCGGTGCCCCCTTGCTCCATTGGGGCTGGCCGCCGGTGCGCATGTTTTGCCCCGTGTGAAAGTGCGCGGGGCGCGCGGCGATTCCTGGCGTCGCACACTGGTCGGAAACGCTCCAGCGCGAGGCCAGCGGCCTTTCCGCAAAAGTTTTTTGCTTGTTATTCCACAACTAGTGAAGCAAACTTCATAAAACTTTGCATACCTTCTCTGTCATATGTAAGCTATCATTTGGATGTCAAGCACTAAATATATGACGTGAATCTGTTAAGTTATGACGTCATAATTAAGTATAATACAGGATCTAGCACCACTTTAAGTCAACAAGGGAAATTGGGAGCTGCTATTCGGGCACCGGGAATGGTTTCATGCACTCCTTGCAAGGTCCAGTGCTTGACTTAAGCATTGTTGACTTTGCGTGACGTCATTTATGACGTCACTAAGGCCATGTAAGTTTTTCGTCAATAACTCCTGATCAGATGGAGCTAGAGAGTCGGGAAAGCCACCATTGGACTCAGGAAGACCTGCCGAATCGAATGATATGCGATATGACTTCCTTCAACCATTTTCGTGACCTGAGGGGCTCTGACCTGACCTTGACCCGAGGTTAACACCTTAACCCTCGCCGGCACAGGGGGGGGGGGGTTGATGCAACCCCCCCTAAGGTTTTTCGCGAATAACTCGCGTAAAAAGCGGTCGATCGCGACGAAACTTTCAGTACCCTCGCATTGATCAATTTTACACCTACCCTGAAAATTTCATGACCCTGACCCCAATGACCTTTGACCTGTGACCTCTTTTCCGTGACCATGTTTGGCCGAAATCGCGATTCGGCGTATGTCGGCTCGCATTAGCTGCGCGTTTGCAAGCTTTTCGTGGTTTCAGAAGCTCAAACATGTGATTTGATGTTGCTCCCATACATTAGGATGGGTGTCAAGGTCACCTGAAGGTCAGGTCAGGTCATTGACCTTTGGTGACCTCGGGTGACCTCGGTTCACTTTTTCGAGTTTTACATGTTTCTAGGCTAGTTTTTGGAGCTGAATTTTAATTTAGCAACCATTTGAACATTTACGAAGTAGTTTTGGCGCCTTCGTAACATGTTACGAAGCTGTCAGAGGCGGTTGACACGTATTACGAATACCCGTCACAACCCCTACCGGTTGACCTGACCTGACCTGACCCGACCTGGTCTAAATGCTTAAAGACATCATCTCTGATCAAAACTAATACAATATTCGTGATCAGCACCCCGGAAAACCACATAGCAGCCACAATTTACGACTTTCTAACAGGTTCCGATTTTCCCGGTTTTCGGGTCATTGACCTGACCTGGAAGGTCACCTGATGACCTAGGACCTTAAAATTGGGTATCATCGGCTTCCTCTCGTAACGGGCAACACGCTCGTTTTTTCCGCGAGGCTCTAGCTCAATCAGGGGCCAAACGCGAGAGGGGGGAGTCGTACCCCCCCCCCCCCTTGTGCCGTCGAAGGACGCAAAATGGCCTGTGCCGGCGAGGGTTAAGTTGACTTCACCCGACAGTGTGGCCAAATTGGTGATGTTGCGGGGAAAGTCGCCCCCAATGAAAAGTATAATGACATCCTCAGAAATTTTAAAATTACATCATCACAACGTTTTTGTTGTGAAAGCATACCTAGTGAAGGAATAAAGACTAAAAATGTTCCAATGTACGATTCACACCGTCATACTCGTACTGTCACGCTTGCAATGTTTTTTCATCTTTGATGACAATATTTGATTTTTTTTTTACTTTCCACCAGAGCTTGACGTCAGGTATAGTTTTTCCACATAACTTGTAAAAACTGCACCTAAAATGACACTGAAGACGAGTTTTTTTTGAAAATAGTGACATCCTCATACAACTTTTTTATACATCCTCCCCCTAACGCTAAACCAATTTGGCCACACTGTCACCCGAACACCAAGTATAGCATTCAACGCGCCTGAGCTAGACAAACACGATTATGCCAAAATCGCGGCAGTGCGACCATTTTTGGCAAAGTAATTAGGGGAAGTTGGGGGAACGCCGAAGACTTTTTTTCTGACGCCCGTAGCACGCAAGGTAGACAACATAAGCTATTCTTGTTGGCGTCATTCGAGAGGCCAGTCTTTTGCCTTTCAAACATACCAGGCGCATTTGATGAATTCGCATACCGTTAAGCGCACAAACTAAAAATATCAAAGAAGTGACTTTTTCGGCGTTGCCCCGGACTGCGGGGAAAGCCGAAAATGGGAGAAATGATCTACGGGGAATGCCGACATTGATGTTTTGCCATTTTATCTCAAACTTTATCCAGAATTGATCAAAGCTGACACGCGTTTTAAGAGCTTGAGGACGCGGTGCACACTGGAAGTTATAATTGTGTGATATAATAAAAACATGCCAGGTAAATCATTCCTTATAGGTAACAGGCCGTTGTGTCGGTTGAAAGTGTAATTTGTGTGACTAAAAATACGCGTTGCTATTCTACAGCAGTAAAGTCCACGTAGCGTGCTTTTAACACGTGCGTAATCGCACGTTTTCGGCATTACCCCAACCTGCCATACTTTCATTTGCAGGCCCATAACTTTTCAACGTGCTGTATAAATTTCAAATAGGCAGCACACTTATGCAAAGACATGCTAAAGATTACTTGACCGAATTGGCCAGACAAACGGTAGCATAATGAGTAAGAAATGCAGCTTCAAAGGCGCATGTAGTACAAGGGAAACGTACCTTGAAAACGCTCTTGGCGCCCTCACAGTCGAAGTATTCCGAATGACGACTCGTAACAAACATGCGATAATTGTAGTCACTTAAGCTTCAGAGCATCACTGACAGGTGGCATCCATGTCTTACGGTTTTCGAAATATCTCGAATTTCGGCTTTGCCCCAACTCCGGCATTGCCCCAACTTCCCCTAACCTAAAACCGAGCCCGTGCCTTGTGGCACTTACCTGACCTAAGAGGTCACTGGCTGACCTAAGACCTTAAAATCGGGTAGTACCTAATTTTTGCGTCTTATAACGGCACACAAGCTTGTTTTTTTCCGCGAGGCTCTAGCTCAACTAGAGGCGAAACGGCGAGGGAGTTGTACCAACCCTCTCCGGTCAATGTAGAAAACCAATCGGTCCGGCCAGGGTTAAATACCGGAATTGTGATCTAATGTAAAGAGACGGCCCAAGGTAACCCGACGTCAGTGACAGGTGTCCTATATTTGCAGCGTCTTATATTCACGAAGGCTTCAATTTCCACTTTCTTCAGCCGAGTGATGGTTGTCAATAGCAAGGCTCTCTAAATGCAAGCCGTAATCGCCACGCAATATGTGGAAGGCTTTTGATGTCAATACATACATAAATGCATACATAAAACGCGCTTTTCACAAAATTCATAAACTCAAGCGCATCTGTTTTTAATGACCAGTCAACTACGCATGGATGCGTGCAGGCCACACAGGTCAGCGTAAGCCGGGCGCGGCGGCCGAGCCGAAACTGGGGCGGGGCGGGCGGTAGTTGGGTAGGAAGAGCGGCTCCTGCAAATTTTGCGCAAATATGCGCAGTTAGCTTTTATGTTGCCCTGGTGTAAATTTAAATCCTACTTCATCTCACAAAAAATCAGAGTGGAACTAGATGGGACTACCTGTTGTTTCCTTACCTAAACTTTGCAGTTATATTCCAGAATCACTGTAGAAGAGCCTTCATAAAAAAGCTATAGTACATCTTAGTTAGGGAAAAAGTATACCAAAAATTTTGCACTGACCAGTCGGCAACTTCATAACGAACATTTTGATGCATAATATGTGGGATTTCAATTTAATGTCTGTCAGCAATAAGACTCTGAATATCCGGCTCAAGAAACCTCTTGCTCCGCGTCAGTTTCCGAGTTCTGGAATACCCCATCTTCGGGGGCTGATTACAGCTATTTTTAGTCACCCGGATTAGTTTTTTTGGCCTAAGTATAATAATTTGATCAATTTCAAATCGATCTATATAAAAAATCATCCAAAACTCCGGAATCGCCCATGGCCTCTCATGAGGGCGTTTCCGACCAGTGTCGGTTAAAAGTTTCGGCGCCGGCTCGGTGCGGTTCAGTGGAACGGTGTGGTGTGCTGTGTGCTGGTCAGACTGGGACGGAACACTGTCGGAGCACATAGTGGGAGCACGGAACAGTGAGCACGGAGGACGGGGCACTAGAGGAGCACCATGAACTGGAAGGTAGGTGTGCGACTGTCAGTGCCTAGGGTTGGTTTGTGGGGTAATGGGTTATGGTTTTACTTTGTGTACTCTGTTTGCTTTGTTTATGGTATTTTATTACTTTGCTTACAAGCATTTATGCATGCTGTCCCATTTGTTTGTGATGTGATGAGCATGACATTTAACCCGCGCCCTGGTGGGGTCTGTTTATAACGCGACCTGGTGGGGGGGGGGGGCTATTTTTTGCCCCCCTCGTATCTCCGAAACTACTGGACGGATCAGCGAAATTCAAACGGCGTTCAAAAGGCCTGTCAAATTTGTTGAGGGAAACCAAATTTCATTGACCTCGGGGTCACCGATGACGTCACAGGTCAGGTCAAAGATAAAATGTTTCACCGTTCACGGGTCATCTAGGGAATGCGCTATAACACCGAAGAAAACGCATTTTGTCGAGAATCAGCGATAGGGCGTCAGTTGCCTAGTACATATGTTGCTATGAGAGGTCACTGACAATACCAGGTCAGGTCACAGGTCAGGTCACCAAGGGTCACAGGTCAGGTCGCATGAACCTAACTTTAGGTACTAAGGTTGTGCGATGCATGTTTTATGGCCAATTTTTCATTTCCAACTCAATGGTGTTGGTTATAAGACTATCAGGTACGGCTTAGGTCACTTTCTGGTGAAGGTCAGGTCAAGGTCAGGTCAAAAAAGGTCAAATTTCAAAGTTGATAGTTTTGCATAAAATGGGTATTGATTCGATGCAGCTCGTCACGGGCAGTCTAATGAAGGTCTTTGTTTTGCGCTACGGGGTCTAGAATTGCTAAAAATTGAGTTTGAAAATTTGACGTCATCAATTTTGAACAGTTTTTTTCGCTATAACTTCGCCAAAAAAAAGAGGTATCAATCTGAAATTTGGTATGTGGATAGAAGGTGGTAAGTACTATAACATATGTTCCGGTTTTTGCGAAATTCAAAAAACTTTTTGGATTTTTCGGCTATTATACTCAAAAAATCTATTTTTGGATTTTTTTTGGGTCAAAATCCAAAAATTTCAAAAATCTGAGATAGCAGTTTTGTAGCCCTGTCAATTGTACAGCTTTTAAGTGTTTATCGTTTTTCTGCAAAGCTATAGGCCTGACAGCTCTTCCCGCGAAACCCTTTTTTGGGTCGAAAACGGCAGAACATGACGTCACTCTGACATCATTTCCGGCCTCACCTCGCGGAGTCCAACGCTCTTCCGACTGAGCTACGGGACCGGCTACGGAACTATGATTCTCATTTACTGAACGAAACCGGTGTAAGTACCTTGATGTTTTTGTTAGCAACCCGATGACCTCATGGATTAAGGTCATATTAAGGTCATATGTGCCAGTTCTTATGAAGTGCGCTAGCTATTGAGACCGGTTTGTATCAGGGGCTCAGGGGCGCTGCAAGCATTCCAAGTATTGCCAGTGTCCTTTGAAAATACCTGTCGTCGCTAATTGTCAGCTTTTTGGTGAGACCGTTTGCATTTCCTATACTCCACAGTTGAAAGTTGTTAGGATTGCTTCACAGCACTTGCCACCAATGTGTTTATGCATGGCGTCTTTTTACCAGCCTGTTAGGTACTTGATCGGGTACGTGCTGCGCTATTGACCCAACTTATGATGCCTAAATAATAAGTTACTTGCGCAATAGCCACCCAGTTACGTCTCAGCTGGCCTATGCTGGGCCCATTTCCGAGAAATCACGATCGTCCGTGTGACGTCCCGGTCCCGTGTGGACAAGGACGGTCTCACGTTCTTAGACTCGCTTTTCGTCGTCCTTCCTATAGCCGTAACACCGCGATAAAGCCTCATGCGCTCAACTGGGGGCTTATTTACCGTCGCAGTCGTGTGAATTACGAACTTCCCATTGCACTGTTATGATGGGAACAACGATGATTTGCGGAAATAATCGGCACGACGGCACGTGTCTCTTTTTGGGCATGACATACGTACCCAAATGGAAAATCATTCCTACACCTATTACGTGATGCAAGGTTGATGCATGATTCATAAGAGGGCGATACAAATGTCGCCATCCACAATCTCTATACATGTAGGTAAGTGGGTCTTATGAACCCACGTCAGAGCATGTGTATGTAAGTCGAGGGCAGCTGTCGTCAGCATCCTCCGTAACAACAGGGCTGGCCTCAAGGCATCAAGAGAAGTCAACGACTACACCACCCTCCGTGGCACCAGGTCTGGCCTCCGGACAGCCAAAGGGGCAGGCGACCATCCCACCCTCCGCGGCCCCAGGGCTGGATTCAAGACAGCTGGAGGAGCCGACAGCTACAGGACAGCCAGAGGGACCGCCGTCACACCGTCTGGGTGACAGGAGAAACCTCCACACTTCTCAGGTCACACACGACAGGGGTTGCGTTAGTCAAAACGGTGTGAGTACAAGTATGGAAACAATGGACAGAAATCTGCCATTACCAGGCCCTTCCTTTTTAGGTGTCACATTAATGGACTTGATGGAGGCGATTAGGTTGATGCAGTTCAGTATCGATCAGGTGCGGGAGGATGTAAGAGACATAAAATTGAGACAAGAGACACTGTCAAAGGAACTGTTTAAAAGCGGGCAAAATGTAAAGGGAGTAGATGCGCTGCTGTGTGACTCGTCGCCTGGAATAAGTCACAAAGGAACGAGACCCGTCGAGGCTAAACTATCGGGGGATGTAGAAAAGAGTTCGACTGATAATGGTTTAAATTCAACACATGGTCTGCAGGGGAATGGTCAGGCAGCTGTTGGTCGTCACACAGTCTGCAAAACGGTGTCTAATGTTTTTAGTGAAAATTCCGATGCTCGTAAGCCAGGGGAACGGGAGGTGCTAGTTTATGGAGACTCTCGGATCAGGTTCATGGATAGAGCGTTCTGTGAACGAAACCGGGACAAGCGATTGCGAGTGTGCTTGCCAGGGGCGAAACTTAGGGATTTATCTGATAGGTTTGATGACGTAATTCGAGGAAGTAGCCCTAACAGTGTTGTCATATTGCACGGTGGTGTCAATGATATTGGAAACACGCACTCGGAGGAACTCATTGATACCTACAGGACGGTGATCACAAAATTGGTTAAGTCTGGGAGGAAAGGCCTAGTTACTAGCATTCTGCCCAAAATTGGTGCTGGTACAGAATGGTCATCGAGGGCCATTGCGATTAACGAAAGGGTAAGGAAACTCTGTAAGAAAAACAATATAGAGTTCTTAGACTACTGGGATAACTTCTGGGATAGGAGGGACCTCTATTCGATGGATGGCTATCACTTAAGTAGGAATGGGGTGTTACTCCTGAGTGAACTTTATGAGAAAGAACTACAGCAGGGAAACTAGTGACATTTACAGGTCAGGAAGTCTCAAATAGAAATATCTCTAGGGACGTCCTCAAGTGTTTCTATACCAATGCTAGGAGTATAAGAAATAAATTCGGAGAGCTACAACTTTACATACTAACCGAGGATCTTGATGTGGTTGTTATAACGGAGGCATGGATCAATGAAAAGTTGTTAGGGGACCGTACACAAGATTATGATATTACTGGTTATGACATGTTTGTCTACCAAAGGAAAATCAAAGTAGGTGGAGGTATTTTGGTCTACGTAAAGAAAAATCTAAGACCTTTTGAAAGGAGCGATATTGGCACGTCCAACGACGTCGAATCTCTTTGGATCGATATCTTTCCTAACTTAGGCAAAAACGATAAAATAAGAATAGGTGCTTTCTACAGACCTCCCAATCAAACACAACAAACTAATCTTGCCATGCTTGACGAGATAGAAAAGGGCATTGTCAGTGAAACAATTCTTTTAGGGGATTTCAATTTGCCCAGACTTGTGGGGGGTCTAACATCTATTACTGGGGAAACGAGGCTATTCAGGGAAAACTTTGATGAACTATTTTTGACTCAACATGTTCTGGAGCCCACCAGAAAAGATGAAATACTTGACTTAATTTTAACCAACAACGAAAGTCTTATTGAAGATGTCACATTGGGTGAAACAATTGGTAACAGTGACCATGTGATTATAAGGTTCAACATTAAATGTAAATTAAAGAGAACAAGCATCAGACAAAACCTTACCCAAAATTTTGCAAAAGGAAATTATGAAGCTATTCGGGCATTTTTTAGAAGCATGAAATGGGTACGAATGCTTGAAGGGAAAAATGTTCACGAAATGTGGAGTATTTTCAAAACAACAATAGCAGAGGCCCAATATCTTTTTATTCCTATGAAAAGAAAGCTGTCAGGAAAACCATTAAAACCAATTTGGTTTAACAGTAATGTGCAAAAGAGTTTTAGTGAAAAGAAAACAGCATTTCGTCTGTTCAAAACAGCCCCATCGGCTGACAATAAATCGCATTATATCAAAGCCAGATCGAGACTCAAAAAGATAATTCGAGAGGCCAAACGAGCAGCTGAGATTAGATTGGCAAATGAATGTGGAGGTGATCTCAAGCGGTTTTTCGGTTTTTATAAATTTAACAGGCATGATCCAAGAATCGGGTTAATAGAAAAAGATGGGCAAGTTTATCATGAAGATAAGCTCAAAGCTAGGACATTTAATGAGCAGTTTTCAAGTGTTTTTACTGATGAGTGTCTAGCAAATATGCCAATAAGTAGAAATGATGCCAGACTGTTCAGCAAACTTACAACTATCGATTTAGTTCAAACCGACATCTTGAAACATCTCGAAAGCCTTAAAGCAAATAAGGCTTGTGGTCCCGATGCTATTTCAGCAAGAATACTAAAGAAAGCTGCAAAAGAGCTTTCCGTGCCTCTTTATATAATATTCAAACACTCATTTGAAACAGGTATTATACCTGAAGACTGGAAGCATGCGTACGTGGTACCAATCTTTAAGGGGGGTAGTAAAACTAAGGCTGAAAATTATAGGCCTGTTAGCTTAACTTCTATCGCTTGTAAAATACTCGAGAAAATAATAAAATGTAATATACTGAATCACTTAGAGCAAAATGAACTTTTATTGCCTTCTCAACA